TGCGTGCAAAGAGTGGCTTGGGGAACGATGGCTTTGTATAATGTAGGCTGTTCCTATCAGTGTATCTTGAATGCCTTAAGTTACAACTTAATAACCCTCTACAAGAAAACAAGTATTTCTAACATTTTCATCTCCTGTAGATCACCTTACAGTGTGTTCGCCCAAGTCTTGCATTTTTGGCATGGGAAAATGTAATTTTTACTGCTTTTCTGCCTACAGGTGCTTCTGTTCGGAATGACTGATGCTGTAGTGGAAGCATTACAGAACTGTAGAAGATGCATCACAGCGTGCCTTGTCATTGATTAATGATAGCACACTCATAGAATTGACCTCCTGCAGAATCTTTTTCACATCACATTTTACAAATGTTGCATTTACAAATAATAACTAATTGAATTCATCGGGTTGGTAGGATGTCACTGTTGTGTACAGTGTCACTGATAGGAGTGAGCAGAAAATATGTACATAGTTTACTTGCATGGCATTTATTTCTTAAACTTGCAGAAGTTCATTATCCTTTTAAGGACTGTTAGATTCAATTTTTATTTTTGATTGAAAATAAAAATTCCAGAGATGCCAACAGCAGTCCATGAAAAGCAGACAGTTGGCTTTGCACATTTCTTTCAAGATGGTGTTTATTTGGTAGATGAAGGGAGGATTTAATAGTTGTGGGACAAACCTAGAATTTATTTCAGCTGCTCTTTGGGAGAAGATGTCTACTGACTTTACTAGGAGTTAGTCTGAACAAGAACTGTGACAACACCTTAGTATTTGTCCTGATGTTTTTAGTAGTCTTTGTCTTATCTCCAAACCATATTTAGACATGTTTTCATCATATGGCAGATCCTGAAATGTGGTGAGACTTCTAGCTTCTTCTTCTAAGCTGATGAATATTTCTCACTCCTCCCTGTGAATAACATGGGATAGCATCCAAATATGAAGTCATCTACTTCCTAGGCCATCTGCATCATATGCCTTATTTTAGCCTCTTGATGTGTGCACAGGGCATAATTAGATATCCAACTCTAAAAGTTCAAGTATTTCTCAGTCTGTTAAAATGTAAACATGTCCTCTCCATTTCAGAGTAAAACAGGTTATCTAAATCCTATTTTGTGGTTCTCACTTCTTTCCAGATTATAAAATGTAGCTGAAAAGAGCTGTTTGCTGATATCTCAATGCACAGATTCCTAGCTGATGTTTTCTAAACCTCACATGCTCCTTCTTGGACTTTGGTCCATGTCAGCTAAATTCCCAGCTTTACTATTCTTGGCTATAAATCATCTGTACCATTGCAAAAGAAGATCCATTGAGAAAGGGATTATGTGGGACTAAGAAGAAACCCTATTCATGCCAAACACCTTGTGTTAGGCAGAGAGTAAGGCTGGAGATAGGAATTAAGTGTTAATTTCCTAGTCTTATATGAGGCACAAAGCACCTGGCTATCAGCTAGCAAAAAGGGGAAAAATACAGTCAGCTTCTCAGTCAGCTACAGGAACCAATGTGGGATGTCAGTGAGACTTTGAAGTGAAAGGTATAGCGAGGATTGGGACTTTGGGACAATTGCCCTGCTTCAGGCCATGGTGGGAGATGAGGCTGCCATTCAGAAGGGCAGGTAGCATCCTGTTCATGTCTGAGAGGGGCAATGCTCAGCCACAGCAGGGGCCTTTCCTATTTCCTTCTTGCTTACAGCCCTGCCCTCAGACCAGGACTGGCCCAGCCACAGAAAGTTTGCAAGAAACTGCATTTTCTCGACATCTCCAATAGGGGCTAATGCTACTGAGAGCAGCTGCACAAACCAGTGACTCACATCAAGAGGTGACCCCGTCCTCCCCATCAAGCAGTGCACTCTCTAGCTGAGTTACATTCCTCCTTTGCTGGGTGAGTTGTCAGTACTTGTGTGTGAGATGAAGCACCACAGCTGCTTTCCAGACCAAGCTCTTGAAAGTCATAGAAAGAAAGGAGAGCTGTAAGTCTGCATGTGAGCAGCTTAGGTTTTTGCTCCTTGCTTTTCCCCTGATCCCACTTATCATTTTCTGCCTTGAAGCTTGCAGGTGAAGGCTCAGAGACCTGGACTGAGTGGCTGCATGTAGACTGACTCAAGAAAAGATTCTCTGTCCATGCTAGAAGGAAGTCTACAGATGCAGTCCCAGACAAGCCTAGACCCTGTCTTCCGCAGTGCATTGCCACCACCTGTCCTGAGCCTGCCCTGTTCAGCAAACAGTTATCTTCTTGCACAGAGCTCATCCAGAGAGTCTGCACATAATCTGCTTTCAGCATAGCCATATGTATGGGGCATGGGCAGATTATGGAAATGATGACCTGACAACTCATACAGTTGTCTGTCAAAAGCAGCATGGACATAATCATTGTGTGACATATTTTGGGACACTCAGATCAGAAGAATCCAATAATAAGACAGTAGCTTTGCAAAGACACTGCTGGATCATGAAAGTATTTAACAGCTGGCAGGTATTAGCTTGGGCTTCCAAATAAAGAGGGGTTTTAACGTCTGTAATTTGTGTGCAAAAATGCCCTCCATTTGAAGGATGATGTGAAAGGACAGAGGTATCTGGAGTGGTGTTGCTGTAATCTGGAAGCTTCAGTCCTGCCCCTGGCTCTCTCCTCACTGTGTAGATTATCTGGGAGAAAGCTTTTCTGTTCCTCTGCCCCATCTACCACAGAGCACAATGAGGCCTCCTGTGGTTAGAAAAGTACTCTTTAAGATCCATAAATTGGCAGGTGCTGTTTAAAATATGATGATGTCTGAAAGACTGAATACCACAATTTGGTTTTATAGACAATATTGGATAACTTCAGTCATTGTACATAGCATGGAGGTCAACAAATGTGAAATTAAGATATACTGCAGCATCCGTTGCATGCTAGATTTGCCTTCAGCTGCCTCTTTGCAAATCCATTCACATGCCTGTGAGGATTTTCTGCTAATAAATCAGAATGGTCTACTAGAATGTCTAAGGGAAATCCCTTTAATTGTGGGGTGTGGGTCATTAACTTTAGCGAGAGTGAGTGCCCAAGCATGGATAAGGTGTGAGCAGCCACGATGTGGAGGTAGTACCTGAGGAAGAGCTTCTGTTCTGTGTGTCTAGAAGAAAGGACAGGTCCCTACAGTGACATGTTGAGGGCGAGCTTAGGGAGAGCATCACTGCCTTTGCTTTGGAGTAGTGAATGAATTGCATCCAACACTTACTCCTCACTCCAGCAGAAGCAGCTAGCACACCAGCACAGAGTGGAGTATTTTGAGTACCATGAGCACTTAAATAGCTGCACTGATATGTAGCACACAATGTGGGCTAAAATCCAGTGCTAAGCAGCATGGTGCCTTGCCCTTCAGGGAATTCCTGCGTCTAGAACCAGAGCAAGCTGGTAAAAGCCACAGACACTGTATTCCTTCTCATGACTTGCTGAGTTGTCACACCAGGTCGGGTGTGATGGCTACAGCAGGTGCCAGAGCCAGGCTGCTGCTCCAGCCTTTCATTGCACTGGGCTTCCAGCAAGCTGAAAGCAGCTGAGCTGAACAGCAGCTTGGGGCACTCAGTGCAGCTCTTGTACTACACCTCCCTTTCAGCTGGAGCACCACACTCTTAAAGAGAGACCCCTCTCTTGGCAAGAGGCCATAGTTCTTTCCTGAATTTGGTGCTGTTGTGAGGGTATGTGAAACTATGCTCCCACATACTCTTCCCCTTGCACAATAGCAACAGAAAATGGGAAATGTGTTCTGAATCACTACAGAGGAAATAACAAAGCATTAATTTTAAATGCAAACTGTGTTTTCCATGTTATTAGACCTCACTGATATAATCTAGCTGGTTTTATTCCATAGATGCCAGCTTTGGCCTGTAATAGGATGACTAGATCTTCTGTTAATGAAGTGGATCCAAAGTACTGCTGGTAAGTGTGTGCTTCCTCCCAGGGCCCAAGGCAATGAGTGTAGCATGGTAATTACAGCTTTGGGAGTGGTAAAATTTTGAAGAATATGTAGTATGCAAGCTACAGTTAAATAGCATGACTCAACAGGGCTGGATAGACAGTTCAATTCTAGTCAGAATCAGTCCACACATTCACAGTGGCAGCACAGAGACTGTGCTCTCATTTACACTGTTGGAAAAATCACAATTTATTCTGAATTTACACCTTTGGGAACATGGTCCTTTGTTTTTGCAAATAAACATGGATAACATGACTTAAGATGAATATATGTAGGAACCACTGATGGATTGTGATCTCTTCTTTTTGACAAGGGCAAACATAATTCTACAGTCGAAAGAGCCAGCTAGCATCTGCACTAATCAGCCAGATGAGCCAAATATCTCCACTCAAAACATCTCTTTGGGGTGAGTAGGTAGAAATCATTTGGTCTGGTCCAGTTCTATGAGAACAGCAGCCCACACGTATCCTTGAGGAAGACCGAGCTCTTATGCCTGATTCTGGTCAAAAGAACGGGTCTCTTCCTCAGGCACATTAAAACAGACCAGCATTGCCATACATGGGTGTTTAATGGGATCCTTTTTTCCACTGTAAATGGACATGAACCATTAAGGTAACAAGAGTCTGCATCAAGGGAAACGTGCTGCCCCTTGGGCCTCTGCAGGGGGTGACAAAAAAACAGCAAGCGCTTCTGTGCAACAGAAAATCTTTATTGGAATGATTTCCAAAGGATCCAGACTTCTATGCCTGTCCTCCCCCAACCCTACGGTGCACACTGACGGGACACAATGAGGAACAGCTCTGGCAGAGCAAGCCGAGGCAGGCAGTCCCCAGCCCTTCACATTACACCCAGCCCACCTTCCTGTCCCAACTGCAGGTGTTAGGTCATCTCAGACCTGCTCACAGGAGGTGACGAGAAACCCAGACACCACCATGAGTAACGTCTGGAGATGTGGGCAGAGGCCCAAGCTCCGGGGAGCTGACTTAGTGTTTGGTGCCTTGTGGGACCTGGTGAGAAGGGGAATAGCGTGCAGTGGCAGCAGACTGAATGGCACACACAGGACAGCAAGGACAGTCGGGGAGCGTCTTCCAAGTGGAAGATGGTGGCAGGTTAAACCTGGAAGGAAGGAACAGTGGAGAGTGGCAGTGGGCTACCCCCTCCTGTGATGGTCCCGGTTAGACTTGGCTGTGGTGCAGTGATGGAGGATGGCATCCAAGTCAGCAGTGTGGTGACAGAACAGAACAAACTCTTAACACACTAATACCCAGCAAGGCAGTTTGGGGAAGGGATCATCTTCATCCTCCAGTCCTGGCAAGCCTTCAGATGCAGTATTTCCAAAAGCAGGCTGGGAAAGGATGTAAGAGAAGGATGTTAGCATCCAATG